TATAGTTTTATATTATTTAGAACAAAGGAGTTTATAAAAAAAAATTTAACTCGATAATGTACGCTGTTTTTTCAAGCACTTCTCAGTTTTGCTACGTCTTTTGTACGACATAAACGCATTAAAGCATTTAGCCTTGCAAATGGGTTATTGACATTTCTCCCCGTCCTCTTTAAGTAAGAAGAAATGGCTGTGACAAATGAAAGCGGAAGTTGTTTGTTCTGCACTCCTACGGGTGTACAAATTGGCATTTAAGTGATAAAACGGACTGAGGATGAGATGTGTTCGATTAAGTAGCAATAGAATATCATGTCTGAGTAATATAGCATCCGAATTTAATTCTGAAGATCTGCGGTTCAGACTCCCATAGTCCTGTCTGAATGTATTGGGACAGACTTATGTTCGTCATAAAACAGTCATAAAAATAAAAGTCACTTAGATTAACAGTTTCTTTGTTTTATGTCCTGGCGCTTTCTGGATACGAAGCCCTGAAATGTCGCTGTTGACTAGGGACTCTGAGGTGTCCCTGGACACTAAATTTCGTCGTAAAGTCAGCAAGTTCTAATGCACTGCTACTTGTAAGAAATAAAGTTGCCAAACAATTAAATGGAAAAATGACCATTGTTAGAGTGGTGGCAGTTGTCTGCATTCTTCTGTCGGGTCAGTAACAGTGTTTTACAGTATTTCCGACTTTATGTCTTCCTCTCCTCTCCTCTCCTCTCCTCTCTTCTCTTTCATGTCTGAACTAGCTGTGAATATTTTATTTTTTACGTGCTTAAGTTTTAATTCCATTTCTGTACGCTTTGCTACACAAAAGCAGCATTTTGTTTCTGTTCGTAAAATGTTTACTTGCACAGTTTTAATGTGTCTAATTTTGAGCAGGCTGTAATGTGTTTCTCCCAGTATAATTTTCTTGACAGGGACAAGAAATTAGATTTTTAGCGTAAAGGAAGAAATAAGGAAAAGTTACAGCTTCACACACAAGAAAATATATATAATAATTTGAACAACCCCAGAAGACAGAGATCTTCATACTAAGAATCGCCCTGATGACGGAGGCAGTATGACCTCTGAAACGCTGGTAAACATCGACCAGACTACACAGCGCAACGACCCAGAAGACAGAAATCTTCATACTAAGAATCGCCCTGATGACGGAGGCAGTATGACCTCTGAAACGCTGGTAAACATCGACCAGACTACACAGCGCAACGACCCAGAAGACAGAAATCTTCATACTAAGAATCGCCCTGATGACGGAGGCAGTATGACCTCTGAAACGCTGGTAAACATCGACCAGACTACACAACGCAACAACCAAGAAGACAGAAATCTTCATACTCACCGCTGTGAAAACCTCAAATCATACATTGATCAAACTTGTACAAACGTCTTAATAAAATGAGCCCCTGTGTTCAAGTGTGGGTGTGTGTTTGTAAGAGTCGATTGTAAAACGGTAATGTCGTTTTATGCTATTTATTGCTGTCGTTCCGTACGAATCTATCAGTAGCCCCACGTCGTGTACGACAGAATTGACCAAGCAGCACATTGTCATTTCTTCAGACCTCGCGGCCTTCACCTCCAACCCGGAGCTTGGCTGATCTCGAAATAACTTACTCTTGTTGATGCCTAAAGAACGCTTGGCTGTTGCTATTTGTGATAAATAGACTCTGCTTTATTTCCATCGTCACGGGGATTTCGTCTCGCGATCCTGCTGAGTTTTCTGCTGTGAGTTTTATCGGGATTGTTATTTTTCGCACCATTCACTTGCCATTCTCTTTCATAATAGTTGATTCAATTACTGCTGAACAAACTCAGCAGCTTTAAACAGTTTACACAACAAGCGAACCACATCGATTAATTTGTACCGAGCGAAGCCTTCGAGCGATTAGCGGGCCTGAAATTTCTCTTGACAGTATTTTGTTATTGTATTGGTATGTTTCATTCCTAGGTATTCTGTGATATATTAACTACGTGAATCATATTGCATTTACAAATTATAATATTCACTCATAATACGAACTGAATGCAATTTGTACTACAGCCACATGAAACAGGACTGTACGATAAAGAAATATGTAGAATGCATCGTAATATGATTAAAAAGCTAGACGTTACATGAGGCAGCTCAATTAAAAAAAAACAACAACAAATGAATAGTTTAATGAAGAAAATTCAAGTGTCTTTATAATAATTCTTCTTTCATGTTTACACAAACCCTTGTTTGTGCCTATCTAAAAATAATATAGCCGATGTATTGCGTGTTTAATATAGCTTTCAAAGGAAAGCCTTCTTTTTGATTTATGGTGAAGGGAAATTCAATTAGGAAGCTCTGATGCGGCATACGTTTTATCGACAAAGTTGCAACTTCAAATTAATTTTATCTTCCCAAACTAGAGTCTTATCAATTTTTACCCCGCTCTGTAGAAGCTGAAAATACCTTCATTAATTCTCTCATAACGACTAAAATATGTGCAACTGTCAGCGTGAGCTCTAACTAAATGTCCTGAACACAATGGGTCTGCGTTTTCCTGCCACTCGCAAAACGCTATTTATTTTTCTTCTCCTAATTCAAGTCGTGCAATTTATCGGCAAGGATTGTGGATTAAGCATTATTATGGATTACTTAGTTCTTACAGTTCAGAAAAAAACGTTCGCTGTGATTTCTAACGAAGAGTGTTTCTGTGGTTGCAGCAAACATTCATTTTGAATGCCCATTAAAACGTGCTCGTTATGGTGAACTCTTGAAGCTTCAAAGAATGAATAAATGTAGGTCAGCTTCTTCACATAATTATGTGTGTAGTCTTAAAGCTGTGTAAACTATCCAAAGAATTTTTACAACCTGAAAATTATTGAAAACGGATTTGAGCTGGGACAGATAGAAAATGAAGGAACATACATCACTTATGTTTGTCATTATTAATCCACTCGTTTGTTAGTTAAATACTTAGTTAGGTAATAGCGTTCTACCCGAACAGGACGCTTTAGAACGCTACAAAGAATCATAATTCGATTTACGAAATAAATTTCCTGAAAAGATGCAAGTTTTAAAACGTTTATAATTAGAATAATCTCAGAGCCTTTCTTTATAAAATCCATAACGAGGCTGACATTCTTTATTATCTTATTCAGAAACGTCTACAAAATGGACAGTCCCGATACGTTCTCATAAAAAATAATTCAGCAAATTATTTCTAGTGATTTTTCCAATGCATCAACTAATCTTGTATGTTTATGCAAGTGAAAGTTTATGTTTGAATCGAATCATCCTAAGTTTTCATGAAGTTTCTAATAATGGGATTACATAGAACGTAATTTGAATGCATGACTGTTAATGTATCACAAAACGCTTTGTACAAAAGTACGTGCATGCACTCTTATTATTTCCATAATCCTAGACCCTTTTCTTCATTTTAAGTATACTGCAATTCCTTAACTCCAACAAGAAATAAAAAATGCAGTGCATGTGTATTTCAAAGTAACTACAAAGCTTTTAAAACCATTAGTTCTTTTACAATGATCAGATACAATTTTTCTTTAAAGCACTCAGAATATGGTATTCATTTCCACATTCTGGTATGCTTCGCGATCATAAGAATATTATGTTTTGTAATACCATTTCCCTTGGTCTTTGTCTTTTTGCCTTCCTTTGTCTTTATAATTCACTAAATAAGACAATCTGCCTCCCCCATCGCTACGTAGTGCTAATTCATGAAAATAAAGAATCAAATTGCCATATTTTTCACTAGGATAATAGGTACACTTTATCTTCCTACAGTAGTTGCTATGGACAACGGCTCCTTAGAGAGTCGATGCTGCTAATTGCGAGATCATTAACAGCGAAACCAGACAAGAGGGTGGGATGCAGCAATTCTAGTATTAGTGGTATATCTGGGATTCTGTTTAATTAAAATCTCTATTAGAATTCATTAGGTCTAAATAGGATTTGCGGTTTTCACGGTGTTGAGCCCAAAGATGGCTGCCTTCTGGATTGTAGCGCCGTATATGCTGGTGACGTTCACTAACGTTTCAGAGGTCCTTGAAGCCTCCATCAACAGGGTGGTGACTCACTGACCCCTAATGATGGAGACAGTAAGTACCTCTGAAATGTTAGTAAACTTCTATCAGACTATACGGCGCTACAGCCCTGAAGACAGCCAAATTCTAAGTCTTTTAATGCTTTAATTTTGAAAATCACTTTCAGTTTAGAGCACTGACTATAAAATATTTCTGACTGACTAAATAAATCACTAACTACTAAGTTGGCGGTTTCGATACGAGAGGGTAGCAAAACTGTAAAGTTCAACGCCACTGATTTAAAAACCTGACCCTGAACACGTTCCTTAACCAGACCCTTCGACTTCCCACCCTCATAACCTCGTTTCTTAAGTTCCATGTTAATGTTATTGTTCACGTTCTTCTGGGTCTTTCCAATGGGCGTTCTCTAAGCTTTAAATTACCAAAATATAGTTAGTATATAATGCATAAATTAACGTCTCCCTCTCATTCTGTCTGACTGTCCGAACATTTTAGCCCCAAAATTCTTGATAAATCCCTGTGAAATTTAGTATTAAATGGTATATATTAGGGATTATAAATCCTCAGCCAGCTTTTTATAATTTGTGTCGCCTGCATACATTTTTGTTCTGTATGTCACATAGTTACCTAAAATCATAAAACATTATATATAAATTTCGTCAGCATTTAGGAGTATCCATGCCTGTGAGTAGCTGTTAATAACAGTTTTATGAAGAACGTCAAATCAAAAATTAGGACATGTCGTGCTTATGAACACAAGAAGAGACAGGGAAAGCACTTCAACATACATACGCACTGAATTATTCGTCTAATTTATATAATTAAATTTATTCCTGAACAACTGAACACGTCGCTGGCGGTCAAGTGTACTAAGACATATTTTCTTTTTCTTTTCGTCTTCTTTGTCACGAACTTATTGTTTGTCAATTGTTAAATGGCTGTGTGTTGTTTTTTTTTTCACTTACCCATATCGAGCTGCCGAGGGGCCGTTCTGATGTCGAGAACCTGCGTGAGACGGCTTCCTGTAAGAACTTCTTCCTGCCCAGCAGTGCGGTCTCCAGGAAACACACATTGTCGGGGGGCGTGGTCTTCGGATAACATGCACTGTTGATCAGCAAGACCTCCTGAGAATACGTTCTGTCCCATACGCCGTGTAACATTGCCACTTGGAATGATATCTTGGACATCACGATTTACTGAAATTATGTCCTCAACATTGCTGCCATTGTCTCCACCTGCAGAAAATTTTGCTTCGTCCTGGGTTTGGTTAGCAGGAGTTTCGGAAGACACAGTCTCTTCAGATATAAAATTTCCTGAAAACGCATTAACATCTGGTAATTTGGCAACACCGTCTTCGGGAAATATCCCGCGATCTTGGCTGGTGTGACATCCAGAAAGCAGATCCTGTCTGTAAGCCTGATCTGTTTGGAATACGTTTTGATCCTGGCATTGTGACGAAGTAAGTAATTCGTGAAGAACCGCTTGAGTAACACGACCTCCGGATAACTCTTGAGCCACTTCCTGGGCATCATGGCCTTCTGAGAATAATACTTCCTTGTGCCGAACGACACTAACTTCCTGAATTCCAGAGAGCAAAGTATTTTGATAAACGGATACATTTTGGCTGTCTGAAAACTGTTCTTTCTCGTCGCAACTAGCTGAGGACAAGTCTTGTTTGTCGTAATGCAGACGGCGTCCTGGGAACATGTCCTGACGTCGTCGGACATTACAAATACCACTCGTTAACAATACACTTTTGTTTTCTTCTTGAGCTCGGTTTGATAATCCAGTTGGTAGGTTTACGTAATTTTTTCAGGGATATATTTTAAATATGAAAAAATTTAGCGATATAATTTTATTTCGTATACCAATATTTACTGTCTAATGTTAATACTAAAAAATACATTTAACCTGTCTATTAGAAAGCTACAACAGAAATGACCGTTATATCTTGCACGTTTATGAACACTAAAGTCACAACGAATATTCTACAAGTAAAACGAAACAATCGCTGCTTTCCGAAGCTTTCGACGTCGACATGTAAGAAATGGACGCTGTTATTCTTTGATAAATTGCCCGCCATTTATCAGGCGGATTGTTCTCTCCGTGCCACATGCATTCTCTATAAACAAGATTTTGATATGACTAGAGATGCATCCATCAACGATTGGCGTGTATGTAGTTCACGTCTTTGAAACAGCTTGCAGCCGTTTTGTTCGATTATTTGTGGCCTAAATTACTCTAAATATACCATAGGAACTAGTCATGTTGTATTCGTGACGTTATAATGGTATGCAGACCTTCCTGAAGACTAAATTTGTCACGTCTGTCTGAGAAGATATGGAGAAAATATTTTATTTATTGTCAGTATAACTTGTTTACGCAGATGTAACTGAAATTGTCATTGTATTTGTGTAGAGTCAATACTGATTTGAATAAAAGATGGGACGAAGTGAACGGATCTTTGATTTAAGTTACACGATTTTCATAAACACTAACACTCACACGCTCTGTTTCTTAGTGTATTTTATTTGACAGTCGGTTTAGTCTCCTTTTAAAATTCCTTCAAATTTCTGTCTTTCCATTTCAAAGTCTAAAAGAAAACCTTCCGTATCCTTGACACCTTAGACGTAGTTGATGACGATGTTTGGGAAGTTTGTAAGATGTAAAGTGGCGAACAGCTCCCGCTTGTGTGTCGCGTCGTGGCGCCTGGCGTCTCCACCAGACGAGAACTAACCATCATACGTACGCCGTCCTAACGCCGTCGAGTGTTCAGTACGTCGTGAACGCATGCGTGGCACAGCCACGAGATACGGACGACAAGACGAAACCTTCAGCCGTGGAGTGTTTCGAACGCTTGACAACTTTATCCCAACCAAACACTATCTGCATTATGCTTACTGAAACGAAGTTTATCATCAGGACTGACGTATTGACATTCAGTTACTCTTTGAACTCGCTTACGAGTTAGTGTTGCCTGTGTCCAATTGTCACGTCATGGAGACGTATAGGTGGAGTGGAGGTAAAGCTTCTCTTATTCGGAACTAGGCGGATATGAGTGGTCAGCTCAATCTTACTTTATGCCGGTGAAAAATTCCTTAGCATCATTGGTTTGTAGGTTGGGAGGACCGCAGACCCGGGATGGACGTGATGGGGAAGATAAAAATGACTGACCCTGCTGGCCATCCAGTCCGGATTCACTTTATTGAGGTGTCTTGAGGAAAAGGTAGAATACAAGAGAATAATTAACCATGTGGTATAGTCACCATGGTACTTGCAATTAAAGGATGATCAATAGCTGCAAATTGATTATAAACCTTAAGTTCCATATAAGAGGAAAATATCTTGACGTTATTTGGTTACTTATTTGCAGTTGTGCTTACAGCTTCCATTTGCTGCTTGCTGACAAACTATATTGTAACCACATAATTATCATAAGCTGATCGATCCTGAAAGTTTAACTAGAGTTATTTATTGTAGTGTGCTTGTTACTAGTTTCCTCGAAACATGTAATTACTGATGTAGTTTAAAAATTTTATCTGAAATTCTGTGACAACGTGTGTGTGTGGTTTCTCCCTATCTCGAAATTCGAACCTCTCTCGTTTCATTAAACTGTGTACTGGTCGATCAAGATATAGGTCATGTGGTGAGGAAGCGATGGGAGGGACAATATATTTTACACGTTGGTCCATGTGCCGCTCACATTTATATCAAAGTTGACAAATGGCACTGCATATGGGACCTTTCGTGGTTCCTGCATCAATTCATCCTATCAGCTTTTCGATGGGCGTTTCGGTATGTGGAAGAACTCTGCGTTAGAAGGAAAGTTGCAATTAATCACGTGGAAAAATAACTGTTTGTTGATGACAATATCCCTGGCTGATTGGACTGTTGTCATAGTGGCAGCGCTGCTCAGAGATCTTGGGTTCGAATCCTAGTCGACGTATAGATGTGTGTCTACGTTTTTCGTTGTTGTTCTGTCTTGTGGAGGTAGAGGCCTTACGACAGTCCGACCAACCCATCCTAGAGAGTGGAAACAGGGTCGAAAATTGGCATAAAACGTTCCTGAATGGTCAAAGCTCATGAGGGATCACAGTGCATCTGTAATGACAGTAGCTGTTAGAATCCGAAAAGTCTTCTATAACATTTATAGGACATTTATAGAAACTGAATATGGTGTTCATCAGTCGGTCTCTTTCTCTCATGACAGCGATATTATCCAAACTAATTAACCTCTTTTCGTGAAAATACGTGAGATCATCACATTACTGGATAAAATCAAATGTTGGCATCCTTAACTCCGTGTCTTCTGTATAAATCTGCAGGTGTCTGAACTTGAGAGGTTGAAACGTCTCTGAAACCGTTTAAAGTATGGTTGTTTATTTCGTATGATGACATATCTATGCAAGCTATTCTGCATTTTCGGAGTATCTTTTATGGAAGTAACTCCATTGTTTTCCGAGGTAACACATGAATTCTGGTAAACGCGATGTTTTTGCAACTGGCGTATTATTGGTATTACCTGACGGATTATGTGGTATTAATCCCTGTATTCTGACACGGAAAACAATTCCACAGTTTTAGTTCGCTCGCATGTTATCAAAACCGCTGTTTTACTGCCAAATATTAGCGTCTACATCCGATTTCATGTATGTGACAACATTGAACCGTACCAGTGCTATGGAAACAGTAAAAAAAAAGCATGAGAGACTTTCTAATATGAAAAATTACGAACAACAGGATATGACGTCGAATACGTCCTTTTTAAATAGGTATATTTCAGAGTCTGCCGTGAGATGGCGCACTCGGTTTGCGCTCAATTTCTGACTTTCCCACCGCCTTGCAGTTTCTTTGGCCTTCCTTGTTTTTCTGCTCGCAGAATGTAATTTCCGGTCTGCTTGCCAAGTTCTCTTACTTTCCGGTGGCGTCGAGGCAGAACACTGGCGTCAGAATGCTACAAGTAGCAATGTCAAGTGCATTGCCTCGGAGGGTTTCTGAGCTAAATAGTTGATACTGAACATTTGTGAGTGTGTAATCATTGAAACTACCAGTCCATCGCGTGTTGTGGTTTAGGTTTTCAACGTACTGGATTTTGAAGATTTAAAATGAATTTCCCCTGTAAATAATTACGTGTAAATTCAAATTTACCCCAATACTCTATTCCATCTCACGTCATTTAGGAGATAAAGTGCCATGTATATATTTCTTGAATGTGTTCGGTGTCTTGTAGTTTATGATTCCGAAAGGTTACGCATCTATTGAAGACATACAACACAATGTAACGGTAGGAATTAAAGGACTTCCTAAGAAATATTTCTGGCAGTGTTTCTAGAGATAACATCTACAATGGAAAGCTTGTATGAAAATAAATGGCGTGTTTTTTTAAGGTAACACTTATTGAAGGTTAGTGACAATTCTATTTTTATATAATGGGCTTGCTTATTTAATTGCAAGGTCTTGTAATGTTTCTTGAAGCCATAGAGCTTAGTCCGAATGAATTAATCTGCATGGAAACTTCTTGGTGAATTCTGCATCTTCCACATTCCCCTGGCATTACCCTGAACAGCCTTTACTGGGAGACAAATTACATGCTTATAGAATACGTACCTTACAAAAACTTAACGAAATTACATACCAAAGCAGAGAATTATATCGGAGTGTGGCTGTGGATGTGTGCAAGGAACTTGGCGTTAAACTATGAGAGAATTGCGTAGGATTAATAGGGATATCCATGAGTAAGTCTAGGACCAGCAGCAGAATGAATATTTACGCAGCTTATGGCAGCGTTCCTCATTGCTTTTTATCGTATAATGTAATTAGGGCTACACACCTGTTTTCAAAATAAGGACCTCTGGAACGTTGGAAGAGTCTACCAGATTTCTCGGTACTGTAACCCAGACGACAGCAATCTTAATACTCGCCACCGTCAGAACCTCAGATATTGCTAATTACATCCTTTCTTTCAGAAACCTGAAAATATATATATATGTAGTTCGGAAGCGCCCGGCCACCGCTCACCGCTCCAGGGGCTTTCGCAGCAATACGCACGACACGTCCGTGGTTATGATACTTTACCTGCGGCATTCAGTTGGTAAAATCGACCCCTACTGCGTTCCTACTTTAGGTTTCAGGTTAATGCACTATCATGTAAGAGGACGGAGAATCGCAGAGTTCCTTCATGTAATAAAATTCCGTTGGAGACTGTTGAATCCGGCATATTCGTTTATCTCCTTTTTATTTGTTTCGGAAGCATGCATGACGTCATCATGCCCCATCTTCATACGAAGGAATTTCAAAAGTAAAATTGCTAACTAAATTATGGAAATACTATATAAAGTCCGCCTGCCTTCATCATAGACAAATTATGGTACATACATGACGTGCTGTGATAATTAAATTAACTCATGGGAAGTTCGGGTGGTCTATGGCCTTGTCTATCAATTGGTCCGCAAATTTCATCTTTCATATTCCTCACGTGATGTAAATAAAATTTAATTTTGGAAGTATATATTAAAATCCTTCGGCCTTGTTTATCTTGATCCGTATCCAGTCAATATAACCACTACTTCTGCACGAAGATTATATTTAACTTATATGACATTTCTTAAAACGGGTTCGTCGTACAAAATACTCGTACATCACATAAAATGCGTGTCCTCCAGCTGTCCAACCTCTACTTTAATTATGTTTGTGTGTGATTTATGAATATTCTTAAAACTGTAATACATATTTTGTGTTAGGTATCTGCACAAAAGAATGGTCTTATATTTTTTAAAAGGTGAAAATTCGTTATGTTTCTATAAAACACGTATAAGGTAACATGATTTTTATTTAGTCTAGTTCAAGAAAATATTGTGAATAGGCGTAGTATGTCCACGGTATTTTAAATATCCATTTTGACGCGGGTATTTTTAAAATGGTCGTCTGTCAGAATGGGATATTCTACTAGTTACAGTATAAAGAGGCGTTCTCGTAACGTGGCAATGGTTTTTAAGACCACCGGCACAGAAATAAATGCATCATTCCCTGTCATGTGCGATGCTGTAGACCTATGTATTTTTTCCTCTTTTAATTGATATTAATCCCTGGCTCTTCTTGTACATTTTATCGCTTGAAACGACACCCGATGTCATGCGTCACGCTCTCAGTAGTCAGATTTTTGTGGAACGAGTGCAGAATGACAAGTGTCACGTTGTTTCGAAATACACCCGGGGGTTGGTACAATTTAACGGCGTCTTCATTATGTTCCTCTCTTTTATCCAGTACATTGTGGAAAGACACCATGACAGTATTCCCTCAACATAAATCGATTCTAAAAGATGATAGTACGTTAAAAGATGTCGTTAACAATTTTTAATTTACACAATACTTAAGAGTAAAATTTCGCTTTTTTCTTGTTTAAGTCCATCTGTACTAACCTGAGTGCCTGGTCCCACGTTTAATATTTGCGTGTGTTGATGTAATTTTAGGAGTTTCTATTTGGTTAAATTACCCAGTGCAGTAGGTATAGCACGTGCAAATGAAACTAAATTCTATGTAGATTTATTTCAGTGCTGAGATTACTTGTATTTATCACGTATGTTAACAATTTTTGCGTAAGATTTGAGGTTTTCACAGCGGTGAGTATGAAGATATCTGTCTTCTGGGTTGTTGCGCAACAACCCAGAAGATAGAAATCTTAACAAAAATTATGTTCATTGATATATTAAAATGT